AAGAAGAGTAACAAGGCACATAGTCTTACCCAAACGCTATGACGATTATGAAATGAGAATGGCTTTATCAATTAGAGATTTCTCATGGCAAAATAAAAAAATATATCGATATATCGAATCATATGATATATCGAAACAACATATCGATACATTCGAGATATCCTACAAAAAACATCGATATTTTGAATATATCGATATATATTTTATTTTTCTATTTTTTCTACAAGCGTGCGAAAAGTGCTTTTTTTCTGCACGCATTTTAGGCCCTGAAAAGATCACTTTTTCGAACTAGTGTGGAAAAGTAAAATAATTATACAATTTTAGGTCACCCTGATACTTCCATGTCCTAAAATGCGTGCGGAAAAGTACTTTTCCACACGATCGTAGAAAAATAACGTTCCTTAATTATGCGGAAAGTTTCTTTTCCTCATTCAGTTGGTACGTACACGCCCTAACTGACGTTTCTTTTATTTTAGCCGACACTGTCAACTGTCAGACTGTCACAGTCAACAAATGAACTATGCGCACGAGCCAAGAATTATTTTAAAATTTCTGATATGTCGAAAAGATTATATCGATATTTTTTTCGATATATCGAATGTAAAATATCGATTAAAATATATCGATATATTTGAGTAATATATCGATATTTACAAAACATCGATATATTTTTGCAATCCCTAATCAGGAAGCTGTAAAAGATAGTGGATGGAATGAAGCAGTAAATCAAGAGTTATTGTCATTGAAGAAAAACAACACATGGAAACTAGTGCCTAAATCAAGTATTCTAGATAGTGAAAAAGTGATCGATTCTATATAGATGGATTTTTCGTGAAAAAGATGTTAATGGTGAGAAAATAAAGAAAGCAAGATTGGTGGCTCGCGGATACCAACAAACAGACTTAAGTGAAGAAGTGTAATCACCGGTTGCAAGAATGTCCACATTACGTACCTATCTTGTTCTCTTTAAGTATTCAAGAAGATATAGAAATACATCAGCTTGATGTAAAGTGAATGAAGACAACCAGTGTACATCAAAATACCAGATGGACTTAAACCCGACGATGACTCAAAAGTATGTAGATTAGAGAAAGCACTATATGGTATGAAAAACTGAATTTTTACTTATTTAAATTAGGTTTTGTGAGATCAAAAAGTGATCCATGCTTGTACTATTCTGGACATACCTATTTATTGATATAGATGATCTGATTTTAGTTACTAAATTACCATCAGAAATTTGTAATGTTAAAGATGAGCTTATGAATGTTTTTGAAATGCGTGTGTTTAGTTTCGTCTACGCGCCCTGTATACAGGGCAAAGACAATACTACTACGTAGTAGTATTGTCTTTGATACAGGGTGACCACTTAGTGCGATATCGGACGATATCTCCTTACAGAGTATTTCAAGAAAAAAAAATTAAATTACAAAGTTGTTTGATACTCCAATATGCATTATTTAAAAATATTTTTGAATATACAGGGTGCTCCGTTTATAGGCTATGCGACAGAACTTTGTTATTTTTAATAAAACACCCTGTATATGATTGCATATTTGGATTCTACTTAAAATTCTGAGCAGATTTTGTTTAATATACCCCATACCTAAGTTCAACTGTTTTCGAAATATTGACAGTTGAAAATTGACTTTTTGCAACTTTGACAGGCTGTAAAATCTAAACGGTTAATTTTAAACAAAAACCGATTTTACATTCCTGTCTTAGATTTTCATAAACTATCATTTGACACCAACTTTAAATTTAATCCATGATTAAAAATTCCAGTTAAATTTAATCTCCGTTTAAATTCAAAGTTGGTGTCAAATGATAGTTTATAAAAATCTGAGATAGGACTGTAAAATGAGTTTTCGTCTAAAATTAACCGTTTAGGTTTTACAGCCTGTCAAATTTGCAAAAAGTCAATTTTCAACTGTCAATATTTCCAAAACAGTTGAACCTAGGTATAGAGTATATTACATGAAATCTGCTCTGAATTTTATGTAGAATCCAAATATGTAATCATATACAGGGTATTCCATTTAAAATAACAAAGTTCTATCGCATACTTCATAAACCGAGCACCCTGTATATTCAAAAATATTTTTAAATAATGCATATTAGAGTATCAAACAACTTTGTAGTTTAACTTTTTTTTCTTGCATCACTCTGTAAGGAGATATCGTCCGTTATCGCACTAAGTGGACACCCTGTATAGTTGTAGGTTAAATTGGGTATTTAGGATGTCAAATCCTATTTGGGAATGGAAATTGATTCGTTTTTTTTTTCTCTTTATTTTTGTTTTCCTTTATTCTAATTGAATTGCGCGTGCTATATGCCATATGCCTGAGAATTGATACGGCTTTGCTAAATTTGTCTTTTAAAAATGCGCGCGTTAAACACTGAAAAAGGATAACTGCAAATTCCTTACACTGCCGACGAGTAAAGTCAGTGGCCAAAAACACTCCGTCCGTTTCGTGTGGTTCGAGAAAATAGACCTGCGGTTTTTCGTTTGCCGCGACCGGTTAAATCAAGACGGTTTCGTTTGCACTCCTTCGCATTGGACTTGAAGTTCCTGAAAGAGCTGGCCAACTGAGTGGAGTTTGGAAGTAAAGCAAGGTAAAGTGAAAAAATATCCTTTTCAGTTTCGATATCTTTCAATTTCAATTTAAAATCTTTCATCGATTACCATTCTATCAGCAACCTGTGGATTTTCCAGTTTTAATTTCGCATTTTCGCACATATTTTTAGAGTTAAATATCACAAAAACAGATTTTGGTTTAACAATTGATCAAAAAGAGCTTATTCAAAAAGTTTTGAATGTTTTTCAAATGACATGTAAAATTTCGGAAATACCTATTCAATATAAACTTAATTTGGAAAATAGTAATGGTGAGTGTTCCAAACTTGTACCATATCGTGAGCTTATAGGATATTTAATGTACATATAATGCTAGGTAGTCGTCCTGATATATGCTTTGCAATAACGTATTTCAGTAAATTTCAAAGTTCATACTCTGGAATTCACTGGAATTATCTTAAACATGTTTTGCGTTACTTAAAAGGTACAGAAAACTTTGGTTTGAAATACACAAAAAGCAATGACATAAGTGTGTCAAATATTTTGTCAGCTAATGTTGATGCTGATTTTACGAATAACGTCACAGATAGAAAGAGTGTCTCAGGTTCTCTCAAAGTTTTCGGTAACATAATTTTTTGGAAAACTAAAAAGCAAAACAATGTCTCAATTTCAAGCTTAGAGGCCGAGTACGTTGCTTTTTCAAACTGAGTGACTGAAGTTTTATTCGTAAAACAACTTTTGGAAGAAATGTTTAATTGTAGTATCTGTCCAATCACAATCTACGAGGACAACCAGTCAACAATTAAAATGGCATCTACGCTTGAAACGAAGAGAAGTAAACATATCGACGTCAAGCATCATTTTATTAGAGACAGTATTTTCAAAAACGAAATACCTATCTCTAAAATATTTGCAAACAAATGAGCAAATAGCAGATTTGTTTACTAAATCTCTGAGGGCCAGTATTATAAAACACTGAACCGATGGTTGAGTTTCAACCTTCGGTTGACTCCATGCAAATTGATAGGATTCAACCGAAGGTTGAAACTCAACCATCGGTTCAGTGTTTTATAATACGGGCCCTGAGCAGTGCAAAGTTTAAATATTTTAAAAATAAATTAAATATCAATGTTTGCTAAATGAGTAGCTTATTTTAGGTTAAGTATTCAGAAATATTGTTTTGTGTTGATTTTTGATTTCAATAAGTATTTTTTTTGATTGTAAGATTTGAGGGGGTGTGTTAATGTTACAATTCTGAATTTATAAATCTGAACATCGAATAGTTCCGCGATCGTGCCCCAAATTTTTGTATGACTTTTCGACATCCTGTCATGAGTGTCAGTAGTTATTGTTGTTGAAGTCACAGAACATTTTGTTTATCGGAATAAACCTTTTGTAATTGTATTAAATAAAAATCTTTAAAACAAAAGCATCTGGTTAATATATTGCTCTTGACTTCGCCTCGGTCAACAAACTTCGATCTTGATATCTAAAAAAGCAATTCACGCTCTTGGAAAATTTATGTATTTCTCCGAAATATGAGACAATAAACCAATAATAAACACATACATATTTATTTTCATCCACAGTACATTTCATTGCCATGAATCGTGATATTCGCATCGCCCGTATTATATGCATAAAATTAGAATTCTCTGTGGGCTGTTTTTCAAATCCAACACACTCGTATGTGTAAAGTTAATTAGAAACGTGTTCCAGACCTCCCCGGCTTTACTTTGAATATCGATGCTAATCGAGTTTCTGGATCCATTCAGCCGCCGACCCGGCAAATAGGCCAATCACGAGCAAATCGAACCACCACAATCCAGTTCTAGACTGTTAATAAAATTGACGAAAAGCAAAATTGACGCATGGTTACACGACGATGACGATGTACGAGGAATTTTGAGGGTATCAAATAAGAAATTTATAGGATTTTGTATTGAAAATACGGAACGATATTCATACATAGAATATAACATGACATCTTTCTAAGTACTTTTTATCTTTATTCTGATATATTTTTATTTTTCCTACGAGTGTGATCAAAGTTGCTACTATACGCATGAAAATGAGTGCGGGAAAAAGGGTTTCTATTTTACTGTAAAATGGAATTTTTCAACGAGCGTTTAAAAATTAAAAATGAAAACATTCAATCTGTTTTACGTTAGGAAAATAGTAACACATTCAAAGCTTTTCATTTCTACTTTACAAACGCCAGTAGAGAAAATACTGTTGCTAACACGTGCATAACGCACATTGTAGGAACCTACTTGTTATTTAATTGAAAATTCTTGAGGAAATGGAAATTTGTATTCATTATTTCTGATACCAGCTGAATACCGAAATTTATCCAATCACAGACTGATGGACATATTTATTATTCTGGATATAATTCTTTAAATATAGTAAAAATTCTTACCTGATTCTCGCTGCTCAATAACTTCAATTGATCATTAATCAAACTATACTTGGCCGACTCTTCCTTCCTCAACGCCCTTTCTTTTTTCAGCTCCGGACTCCAAAAAGTTTTAATGGAATGCATGGAAGATCCTAACTTCTGATTGGTCAAGTCTAGTTCTTTTTTGAGGCTGGCCAAGTCACGTTGCAGATCGGAGTTTTGATGTTGGAGTTCACCGATGAATGGCTGATGGGAAGTTGGAGATTGACGTGCGGATCTAGAACTGAAAAAAGATCATGAGAAAGAGTAGTTAATACACATAAAGGCCTTGAATCTTCTTTATAATCTCGTCTGATGATTGAGCGATTTCTATTGGTTGGATGATGGTACCTCGTACAGCTTACAATCGGAACATGCCTCCGACGAGATGACATAAAGAAGCAAAACAATTAGTGCTGGAGAAGGTTTGAAAAAAAAAGATACATTTTAGTGATTCGTTATACCGACCAACTGAATTGGCCGTGGAAACTTTGCGCACTAGCATCTTGGAAGCATATCGAGAAGGCACCCATAATCAGGCCAGTACTAAGAAGATGAGATGGAAAATTTACGATGAAGGCAAGAGCCATGCCTATGAAAAATGGAAAGCTGAGAAGAGAAATAGAACCTGCCTAAATTTAAGGGTTGTATAGTTCAGGAACTCGGCAAAATCGCCCACTTTGCATATTGAAGGTAAAAGAAACTCAGTACATTGACCCCAGCATTCCTGAAGAAGAAAAGCCCTAATTGCTCGCCTTGTTAAATGAATATCGCATTTGCTTTGCCTCAAAATCTAGCGAATTGGGAAACTGTCAAACATCCGAAATATCGATTAAACTAAAAGATGAAGACCCAATCACTTATAGGCCATATCGTTTTTCTTATTCCCAACGTGAAAAAGTGAGAGGTAATGTCGATAATTTGCTGGAAAGTAATATAATTCGTGAATCGCAGTCACCATATGCTAGCCCCATACTCCTGGTGAAAAAGAAAAATGGAGAAGAAAGAATGTGTGTAGATTATCGAGCGTTAAATCTCAAAAGCGTAAACGATAAATATCCATTGCCGCGCATTGATGACCTCTTAGACAGATTAAAGGATAGTCAATATTATACAAGTCTAAATCTCGCTTCCCGGTACCACCAAATACCTGTTTCCAAGGACACGATTCCAAAAACTGCATTCATAATTCCTGACGGGCATTATGAATACCTGCGCATGCCATTCGGCCTTGTAAACGTACCGGCTGTTTTTCAAAGAACAATGAATACGATTCTAGATTCAATGAGGTTCACTACAGTGATGGCGTATCTAGATGACATTCTAATACCATCCTCGAACATCGAAATTGAGCTTAAATAAATATTAAAACTATAACGCAATGCTAATATGACCCTGAGACTAAATAAATGCCGATTTTTGCTAAGGGAAATTGAATATTTGGTCACCAAATCAACAAAGATGGACTACGCCCAGGTACCCATAAAATTAAAGCAGTAGCCGAGTATCCTCCACCAACTAGCATGCATGAAGTAAGGCGTTTTCTAGGGTTAACTAGTTATTTTAGAAAATTCATAAGGGATTTTGCACTGCTGGCGCGTCCACTAACAAACCTAACAAAGAAAAATGTCATCTTCAAGTGGGGAAATGATGAAGAAAGTGCTTTTACTACACTTAGAGACAAATTAATAACTCGAACTGTATTAGCAATCTATGATCATGAAGCTGGGAACGGAAGTTCACACTGATGCTAGCCGCTGGGCGACAATTGGCGGTTTTCTTCTCCAAAAGCAAGCATGGATCATTAAAACCAGTGCAATATTTTAGCCGCGCCACTACTGATGCCGACCAACATTACCACTCCTATAAGTTAGAAACGCTGGCAGCAGTAAACTCACTACAAAGATTCAAAGTTTATCTTATTGGAAAAACTTTTTAAAATCGTGACAGATTGCGACGTCCTTCGCACAACCTTAACTAAAAGAGACGTGATTCCAAGAATTGCAAGATGGTGGTGAATATCGATCAAGACGACTAGGTTTTGGCAGCACAACTTGCTAATGAAAATTGCCGATGAATCTACAACATTTTAGGTAACCAGCCGCAAAGTGCGGAAGACAGAAAAGAAGTGCATAAAAGTTGTGCTTAAGGAAAACCGAATCTACCGCAAATTAGAGAAATACATAAAATGGGTAGTACCAAAAAGTGCAAGAAGTCACCACGATGGTTTTGGACATCTAGCTGTTGAGAAAACACTAGAAGCCATCAGAAATCGTTATTGGTTCCCTTCCAAGCGTAGATATGTGAAAAACTTATTTTAGCGTATTTAGGTTGCCAATACAACAATAAATCCTCTGGAAAAATACCTGGCAGCTTGCATAGCATTGAGAAGAAAAACGTTCCAATTGATACTTCTCATATTGACCATTTAGGACCCTTTGTAAAAAGTGTCAAGAAAAATTCTTACGTCATAGTAGCCATAGACGCTTTTACAAAATTCACCATGACCAAGGCCGTAACAACTACAAAAACCTCTTTAGTGATAAAGTTTGTGAAAAAAATATTTATTATGTTTGGAGTACCCAGGGGAGTTATTTGTGATCGTGAATCTGCCTTCACGAGCAAGAACTTTACACAGTTTTGCCAAGAAATGGGCATCAAAAGAGTATTGTGTGCTACTGCAACACCAAGAGCTAACGGGCAGGTAGAGAGGATGAACCGAGTCATTTTGTCAGCTCTAAATGCGGCAGTTGATGACGAGAATCGGTGGGATGATTCCATTAGTTCTGTCCAATGGGGAATAAACACAACAGTTAACGCTTCTACTGGGAAAAGCCCATATGAGATTCTAATGGAATATAAGCCAAGGGGAATTAATGATGCTTTTCTTGTCCATTAAGTATTTTACGAGGAGCCCCAAGACCTAGAAAACATCGGGTGAAAGTTACCCAAAGAATTAAAGAACAACAAGAGGTGCAAAAGTTACAGTACGATTTGAGGCATGCCAAGTCCAAAACGTTTGTGGTTAGTCAGCAAGTCCTTGCCTATCGAAAAAAGTGTTCAAATGATGGTAAGAGTCGAAAACTTGAGCCAAAGTATCATGGGCCCTTTGTGATAACAAAAGTCCTGGATAACTATCGTTATGTAATAGAAGACTTACCTGGTGCGAAAATATCGCGCGTATCCTATTCAGGTATTTTACCATCTGAAAAGGTGAAACCGTATGTGGCAGCTATAGAACCTGGCTCACCAAAACAGTCTGATGAGCATGACTTATATTTCTTATATCTTAGCACACAAAAATTGGAAACATCAGAAAGTCTGATGACGATAAAATCAGAAAGTCTGAGGGTCTGAAACGTACGAGCTACTGGGATTGATAATAGAGGGTAAAGTATAAGGTAGATCAGGTGGAAGACGCCGGAACTCATGGCTGAAGGATCTGAGAAGATGATTTGACCGATCATCTACAGAAATCTTCCTTGCTGCAGTTTCCAAAGCAGCAATTGCCATCCGGATCGCCAACCTTTGAAGGGAGAGGGCGCAATAAGAAGAAGAAGAGGAATCTCCCTGACCACACAAGAAACCGAAGCTCTGGAACTGACCTCAGATCAACCATTCGGATTGAGAGCATATAATCAGAATGGTGAAGTTCCGCTATCGGTTTCAACTTGGAATTAGGCTACTGAAGATGTTCACTGGATTATTGCATAATGGACTGACTCATGGGATGATACAAACTGACTAACAGACACAGACCATGTAAACTGATCCAAAACTAGCTATATCACGACAAAATTACGTAAGAAAGCGTGACTAAGACCACCTTAAGATTAGAAGTTTTGAAGCTGGAGTATCTCAAGTGTCAGTACTTACTTGGACCGCACCTGTTAGGCCAAGAGGTAATGGAACAAAGTATTTCAATATTTCAGTGGTTGTTTATGGCGGACATTGGTGTATGTACGTACATAAATGAGAGCTGGAGCATTAAGAATGAAAACTTTTGTATACGTTGTTGATAAATGATTTTATTGTACATAAAATTAATGTTTTACTTATTTTTGCACCACATTTAATCATCTCTCCGGGACCCCTGCCCATGTACAACCCCTCCTCCCTGTCACCATTTATTTTCTATATTTGATTATAGCTCCGAGCACCCTCAAACATTCAAAATTCAAGACCTTCTTCCATTACCTTCTAGTCCATGCAGTAAATCTACATCTTTAACCTCCAGAAAGTCCAGGAAACGATGATAGTCTAGTACGTCGACGATTGTGCCATTGCTGATCATCGTAATATTAGAATCGCCAGGAGAAAATGAAACCCTTAAAAGAATGGAGCATGAAGGGGAAGACAAAAATCAATGCAAAGAAGATAAGTCGGCAGTGCTATCGACTAACCCGACGTCGATTGAAAGGATGTTAAATGGTCTAAGAAACTCAGAATCGGACTTGAGAAACTCATATTCAACAAGACCAGAACGAAACAAAATCGCTCTACTCACTCTTGCATCGGCGGAGCACCATGGACCTGAACAACAAGAGATTGATGATAGAAGTACGTATGATTCGACTGATTAAAGATACGCAGCCAAGTCACAATGGAAAAAAGCTGAAAGTAGTAGATTACGTCGTTCTCGATCGTTTGTACGAAATACCAACATGAAAGATCTACTTTGGGAACCAATAGGCGGAAGTGACAAATCAAAGTCTCGCAGAAGAGACGATATGCTAAAGATTAGACCACAAATGAATTCTTTGCTGGGAACCAACTTAGTACTACAAAGGTACCTACAGAAAACTTGTCATCAACTAATATGACTATCTGTTTCAGGGAGCTTGGACCTATATACCTATCTATCTATCTATTATATTAGTATCAGCTTATACTGACACTGATACAATAGAGGAGGAGCTGATAGACCGAATCTCGGACCGAATGTTAAAATTGCCTTAAGGTTGATTCCTCTCGCCGGGATTAAACCCAGTTAATGTACCTTCGCGCAAAGGATAGTTTTACACTACGTTGTCGTTGTTATCCATCGAATCAAAAATTCTCTAAAAGCTTTGACGATCCATAGATAGGTATAAAAAAAAAATGGAAAAATATTGAAATTGTGGCATGTTTTATCATTAAAGAGACATTGCCTCAACCTCCAACCCCGGCTTCATCCTAATCAGGCTTTATACTTACAGGTACGGATCATCTTCGAAATAAAGGCCTCTATCCAACGAACGATCACGACGATCACGGATTGGCAGGAACTCGCGATCATGGTCTACGGTTGGTCCTCGGTCTAGGGATTGGTAGCGCACCGACATTGGATTGGTCGGTCTAAAACAATAATGGGGAAAATTCTAAATTGGTCATTATTTTCATCTGAAACACACAAAATACTACATTTCCCTTGAACGTTTGAAATTGGCGGAAACTCGAGTAGCAAAATTGCTCGTTAAATTTATTTCGAAACAATAAAAAGAGCAGTTTGTTTCTCATATTGCAGTTTATAGTGGATTTTTTCGTATATAAATTTCACGGAATGGTTTCATGTTTTATTTCGTGTATTAGTGAAGCTATTGATCATTGTTTAATTAGCTATTTCTAACTAGAGAAAATTAAGAGAGATAAATAATTGTCTATTTAGACATTAGTCGGTCTCCTTTAGCGTAAACTCGTGGCAGATGGATTGCACTTCTAAATACAGGAAATAAGGCCTTACAATGTCTTTGTTTCGTTTCTTTAATTCTGAGTAGGCAAAAAGGAATTTAGAGTAATATTTGTTTGTAAGCACATAGAACAGCTGATGACAGATAGTCGGGATAGTGGAAAATGGGTCTCATTTTTACTAAGTATTTTAATTTCAGGCGTAGAAAGAAAAATAAACAAACTGCCATTGATTCGCTCTCTCGATTTGTCTTGTGTATTCTGCATATCAATTTTTAATAAATGGAACCATCAATTTATTTCAATTGAAAGAAATTTTTTGCTCGATTGACAAACTCGCATTAATTTATTATTTATGTTCCATAAGTAGTTTCTGACAACAATTAATTATTATTTATAGATTATGTTACGAAATAAGTCAGGTTTTATTTTCTTAAAAAAAAAATCGTATGATTGACCGATTGGTTTTTCACTGTATCAGTCGACCAATCTGCTAGGCAAAGCTGAACATGGATGCACCACATGGAGGCCACCATTCACTCCTGAATGGTGGCCTCTTCCACATAAATTAATTTTTGCGTGTCCATAACAACCCTCATCCTGTTTTTCCAGCAATATTCTGGTCATCACTCTATCTCTTTTGAGGTCAGCGAACCGTAGTTGGTGCGGTGATATGGGTGATAGAAGGTTGGGATGTTTCTCGCATTACAAGGAGGTATATATAAACCGATGTTAGAAGTGGGATAGGGAAAGTCAACAAGGGAGTTGAGAATTTTGAAAAGAAGGAATAGTTCATGAATACTTCTTCTTTCTTGAAGTGATGACATATTTATCCTCTGACACATTTCTTCGTAGTTATATTCAGTGTCTCTATAGAATTTGAAATGAATATGATGCATGAATTTTTTCTGGACTCGCTCAATTCTGTGGATATGAAAAGCATCATACTGAGGGTTCCATACAGAGGTAGCATTATCCAAGGGACTTCTAACAAGACTGTAATATAGAATTTTATTGGAACCTACAGTAACCAACTCAGAAGTATTACGTTTAATAAATCCCACATTCTCAGTGATTTATCAATGATTAATGTTATGTGAGAGGAAAATGATAGCTTATCATCAAAAATAATTCCAAGATCCTTTATGTTTACAACTGATAGTAATGTTGCTTCAATAATAAGATAATGAAAATTAGTTTCAACTGTACGACGAGAAAATATTATGAGATTGCACTTAGAGATATTAACATTCATACCAATATTACGACACCAATCCACAAATCTGTGGATATCCTCCTGCAAAGCAATGTAGTCGTTAAGATAGGATATTACTCTAGACATTTTTAGATCGTCTGCAAACAGAAGGAACTCCGAAGACTGGAAGCATGGTGCAACATCATTGATGAAGATATTAAAAAGAAGTGGTCCAATGTGGTACCTACCCCTGTGGGACCCCAGACGGCACAGGCATTTTGTTAGACAAGAAATTGTTAATTTTTACAATTTGAATCTTATTCGAAAGGTAGCTATCCAGCCAGCAGAGTAAGGGTGCATTTATACCCATCGTTTTAAGTTTGTTTACCAGTACATTATGTGGAACCTTATCAAAAGCCTTGGAGAAGTCTGTGTAGACGGAAAGGATCTCCGCTCCACTCTCCAAGGCCTCAAGGCCTGCAATACAAGCTGAGAATAGGTAAGGAGATTAAGTTCAATATTTCTACCCTCACAAAAGCCATTCTGCTGGTTAATGATTCCAGGAGACAATAGTGAGCTAAGATACTTTGTTACAAGGAATGGTATTGATGATGCAAATGGGCCGGTAATTTTTTATGTTGGACATGTCTCCAGATTTATGTATTAGGACGACAAAACTTGTTTTCCAGAATTTGGGAAAAGATCCACTTTCCGAAGATTTATGAAATATAATGTGTAGGGGCCTAGCGAGAATGAAGGGGCAGTATTTGAGAAAGAGGATGAATATTATCAGGACCCAGATCCTTGTGAGCATTCAAGCTGATAAGCTCAGTGTATATGTCACATATGGAAATGGAGTAATTGTGACCATTAATATGATTTAATGATAACTTTTGATTGCATTGTGGGTTACACACAGAGTAGACAGAGGAAAAATAATCTGCAAATAGGTTGGCAACATCAGGACCCATGAAAGCACTTTCATTATCAAGAGTGAGTAGATTAGGTATCTCAGGCGCATTGCGTTTAGAATTCCAAAAATTCCAAAATGGTTTCCAATTAGTAGAAAGGTAATTTTCAGTGCTTTGGACAAAACTCCCATAACATTCCCGGGAACGGACTGCACACTGTGATCTTAGGTTGGCAAAAACTTCATAGTCATGAGCGGATTTGCTGTTTTTGTCATTTTTATGGGCAATCTTTTTTTTGTATTGTCAGACTTATAAGATCCCGACTGAACCACCTAGGAAACTTTCCACTGGGTAACTTTTTGACTGGAACAAATAGATCAAAGCAACTATAGACAATATCATAAAATGTGTTTAACATGGAATCTAAAGATTGGATAACAGATTATCCCAGCAGAAAGTACTCCATTTGCATTATGAATAAAATTATCCTGGAAGCAATTTTTTGAATACTTGAGGTGAGACGTAATCATCATCAGAAGGAATACCCACTGCACATATGTCCTCGTTAGTCCATCTGACCTTAGACAGGTTAAAGTCACCAGCCACACACAGTTCAGCTTCTGGATACTCCTCAGAGATTAGGTCAAGTGTGTCTAACCCAAACTAACCGGGTTATTATCGGTAAGTTTGATAATGTCTGATTAAAATTGCAAATTATTATCAAGTCGGCTACCACATAAGTCACCGGTGATGCATAAGATTCAGTTGCTCTTATACCGACAGGGATTGACCCAATTTTTCCCCAATACGAACCAGTCGACGTTACTTTACGACGAATTGACATATACGACAAATTGACTTTACAACGAATTTACTTTTGAACTATGTATGGACTTTTCGATGAATTGGCGTACGAGTTGACGTACGACAGATTTATTTACGATGAATTGACGGTGATCCCCGGTAATTTGTAGTACAACCATCTCTCTGTGCTGTCTTGCAATATGGCGACCTCAATTTTAGCTGCGCTACTCTTTGGCTTGCATCTGTTGATTTCGTTTATGGATAAATCAGTATTGTTATAATTTATACATACACGTTATTTTTGTCTCTGAGATAGAGAAATTTTACACAATCTAGCAACCCCGCATGGGGGAATCAAGAGATAACCCTATACGAAGCTGTAAAAGAAAAAAAAAAGAGTAGGACCAGCTCTCAAAAGTTTGGTAACACCAAAAAGACACTTGACCAAAAAGAAAACGAGAAGAATGAAAACAAGAAGAACATGACCAGAAATATATGAAAGATGAAGAAAATAGACGCATGAAAGTGAAACTGTAAGAAGAAGACAGATGACGGAAAGAATTAGGAAATCGAGAAGAATAAGAACGACAGGAAAATAGTGAGAAGAAGTAGACAGGCAACTGAGAGGAAACATGAAGCAGAATAATGACTTGAATAAGAACAAGAAGAACGGGACAATCTTCATAGAATTATGCAGACAAGACCAACAGCAACAGAAAGGTGTTGAAATAAACACACTGATTTGCAAGTGGAAAGTGCAACTTTCCACCGGAAACTATGCGGTAAAGCTACTTTATGGCATAGTGTACAGTAAAGTCGACTGCATAGTGTGCGGTAAAGTTGATTCACATCATAGTGTACGGTAAAGTTGACCGGACGACGCCAGCGAAATTCTACTCGTCTACTGTCAAACGTGACAGTCAGCCAGCCAGAGATGCAGTTTTATTTTCTATAACTTTTTAAACTTCCTTCGGATATTCTTCACCGCACGGTTTTAGATAAAATACTTTATATAATACGGTATACTGTACTACTGTAAGTAATACCCTTAAAGATCGCAAACCTCGCCTACCTGGCTTGTTTGCAAATTTCTGTCGCGTGCGGTAATAACCTAGTTACCACACTTATTATACTAATATATCACAAAAACAATAACGTCGATTCAGCAAAGTGGATGTTTCGACATGTATTTATAGCCGACCGTTTAAGATCGCTGCTGGTGCGATGGATTGGATGAACAGCAAAAAGCAATAGAATTAGAATTGGCTAATTGAGTACGGGGAAAATACCCTCGACATTCTTCAGAATATTTCTGAGGTTGAGGAAAGTGATTATGTATATGCAGCAGTTGTAGATGCCTAAGAGTTGATGTATGGAAACAAGTATCTTAGTCAAGTATATCAAAGCCAGCCGGAAACCAGAATGCATCGGATATGTTGGAGAAATTCAGTAATGGCATCGAGATAATGGCCTGGTTGGCATATCCTTCTACTTCTTGAAATGCCCTATCTGTGTTCAGGCGTTGGTCATCATCATGTCTACAATTTCCAGGAATCTTTCTTCATTGGCTGCCGCGCAAAACAGTAAGATTACACCACTGTCTGATATTGCGTAGCCAGGATAGAATTTTTCGCCCTATCCGCCTTTTCCCTTCCACATTTCTCTGTATTATGACGCGAAGTAGCTGGTATGTGCCCGAAGAAACTCCGTTTTTTTCAATAGAGTTCAGCAGTTGTCGTTCCGTGTTCATTATTCTGAAAACATTCTCGTTGGAAGTGTGTGAAAACCACGATATTTTCAGGATCCGGCGGTAGTAGGTACTACAGTTCAAATGCTTATATATCATTGTGGCCTTTAGTGTCCATGTCTCGCAACCGTGAAGCAGGACAGACCACACTAACATCTCAAGGCCATTTTACGAAGACGCATTGATAGCTTTCTATCACTTATAACTGGTTTCCACGTCATAAAGGCTCTGCGTCTTTGCGTGATATTTCAATCCGTGTTGTTATTTTTTCATCAGAGTCCGCATTCCTATTCAGCCAGCTGCCCAAATATTTAAAATGGTTTAAAATTATTAATTTTAAGACCTCTCTGACGGCTTGCTTCATTCACCCGATCTATGAGTTTTTGTAGATCTTCCAGATTCTCTGCAAGAACGGCTGTCTGTATCATCAGCGTACCTCTCTAATATTGTTGATTGCTTCTCTGCTGAGTCTTACACCTTCTTGTCAGTCATCTATAGATTCCCTGAATATTTCTTCTGAGTAAATTAAAAAGACTTGGCCACACAACACAGCCTTGTCGTACTCCACGTTTAATGGGCAGATTTAACTGCATCTTTCTTCAATTTGTACGGAGGCTACCTGGTTGTAGTATAGGTACTTTAGTGTTCTAATGACATAGTTATCTAGTCCTGTTGCCTCCATGTAATTCAAAAGTGGGTCGTGATGTACTTGGTCAAATGCCTTTTCGTCGATGAAACACTGAAACAGAACTATATAGACGTTCTTTCGGAACTCACAGCTTTTTTGGAGCGCTGTATGCGCGTTCCCGGTGTATTGCTATTTTTTGCTGTTGTATTGCTTTCCTGGCCTCTGTCTCCACTTCAGTATACTCAGGCGTCTGTCTATTACAGGCATATTCGCAAGCTCTCAAAGCCTCGATTGCACAAATAAATGTTCAGTACTTTATCAATGGTATATTGAACTGCAGCCAGTGCAAAATCGAAACTGGGTTAGTAAGGATGGACGGAAAAAATCTCAACACAGAGATGATCAAACACCAGAAATGTCGCGAAATGTATAAAAAGAATGCCAAACGCGATCCGCCCTCACTGCTTCGACATACTGAGGATTGGATGATCATACTGGAGAGCGAGGGCTCGAGTTCTATGGATTGAGTGCCGGGCCATATTTATTTGAAGTTCATCTCAGTAAAAATGGTGGATATAATTTACTTTTGAGCGCAGCTTCACTAAATTTCTCTCCCATGTCTGATGAATTGCACCAAATATTCGAAGCCAAGGCTTCGTGTTTAAAGTTTATCAAAATTATCCCATAGATTTCATGATGAAAGTTTATTGCCAGTCTGCATAAATGAGGTCATTAGAAACTGTTCAACAAGTCTTATAAACAAAATAAAAAACCCATCAGTTTTATACTATTTTGGAAATTAACCCCGCTACCTTTAAAAAAAATTTAATTATCGCTCGCTTTTTAAATTTTTCATATCATTCGCCTTCCAGTAAAATAAAGTTACCGAAAACTCATTCCTAAAGTAACTTAAAAGTAGAAGTAGGAATTATTCTCAGCAAAGTGTAAATGGTTTGCCAAGAGGAAATATTTGTTATTGAGATTGGGTTTATAATAGTTTTATAGACGTCTCAATATTTACATAGCTAGTCTTGAGGAGATATCTCTATCATTGACTCAAAACCAGCTTAATTTGGTTATAGAGCTAAACCTATTATTGATTTCAGAGATTTTCAAAGTAGTAGATAGTTTGCAGAAGTTTCAAAATGAGGATTTAGTCTGATCTGGGTACTACCATTTAGTTTCAGATTTTCATCTACAGAAAAAAGTTTTTATACTATTTTACTAGTTCATATTATGAAAAAGACGTTTTTGGCTAAAATTCAAAGATAATATGTAATATCTTACCTTGTAGCGCTTCGTGATCTATGATGGCCAGTACCGACGGCCATCGGTCTACCCCGTTCCTCCAACATCGGGTCTTCTAATTCTTCGTCGCGATAGTACGAGTGATAAGCGCCGTAGGCCGTGTGCTCGGGCGAGTTGTTGCCCGAACGCGTTTGACGCAAGGGTTTCCGTCCCAAGGGGCTGCCCCCTGGGTAAGCCCTGCTGGGCGAACGATCCACGGTGGGCAGCCTCACGCCTCTAGGGGAGCGGGAGCCCCCCACGTACGCGTCACGGGACATCTCATGACATTCTGCAAAACAAAAGGAAAACTTTTATCAATACATGTTGTATCGGAAAGGTTTTGTAGTATTTATCGATAGTCCTCTCTAGTCATTTGTGCCTCATTTCAAACTCCCAACAACTTTCCATTGATGTTTCATGAACGTAAATGGAAGCAAGTAAAGTTTCATATCTCTCTGGAGCAATGAGAGGTACAAAATCGGATAATGAACGGTAAAAGGCAGAAGGGATACATTTAAAGGCTAGAATTTATTCACTATAGAAACAGACACAGTGTTGTTTCCAAACAAGAAGTAATATAAATATATTATTCAATTAGGAATTGACTCGTGTTAGCAGCACTTTTTAATATTAAAGATGTTAGCAGCAGTTTTTAATATTAAAAAATGGAAATTACAAAAAAATATATTTAAAATGCCGTTCGGCATTTTCAATACCTACTGGATAATAGAACCGGAAGAGGCGCAGTTGACCTAAAAAATTAACTTTAGCCTACCCATAGGGATCTCAATCTGGCCAAAAAATGGAAATTTCTTTGATCTTTCGACATTTTGCTTGCAGAATGATAATTTAGCGGTCACGAGTATTGCCAAATTGACAAAAATCTCGACATAATTCTAGCAAGTTTATGCATAAGAAATTGAAACTTTAAGTTCCAAAACCTGTTATCCTATGAGTGAATACTGAATACTGGTTATTAAAAAAAACTTGACGTTAAGTTTTTCAAAGTAAAAACAGCTGGTGCACTGGTGCAGGGCAAATTGGCAATGCCTTCCAAAAAATAAAAAATAAATTGAGAAACAATTCTTTTTTCCTAAAAATTCTTTATAGTTCATTATACAAAACTAAAATCAATGCACGTCATGAAGTCACGAGGTTATAATAAAATTGTCATTAGGATAAAATAGTTATTTACTTATGTCATAAGGCCAAGAAGTAGGTCTTTTTGTGCTAAGCTCAACGTTTGAAAGACGAATGCACACTGATATTTGACAGATATTGCATTGGATTAAAGGTAGATTTCAGCTTTTCTGACAGATTTTCACCAACAGCAATAGTAGCAGTATTCAGCTCACCAGCAGATATATATTTATAGCTCTAATGTCTAAGGTATCCCTATTATTACCACATCTAAGCTCATTGCTCATTGATAATCGACCAGGTTTTCTTCCGGATATTTTGTGAGTTTATTGATCTTGGAGTACATTTCTTGGCTTATAATTACACCCTTCTGTCAATAGAATATAAACTGTCTATTATAGATGAGGAAGGCGGCGTACCTATATCCTTGATGATGTCGGTAGGCCTCTAGATATCCATGGTTTTTTAGATTAACTTTTTATATTCAAAAAAAGACAAGAGCCATTGAAGGCATGTGACATGAAACTCTCCAATGAAACATTCCCTTTGACCGATTCGGTGTTGAAAAAACAAATTGTAATTTGGCAATAAAAGTCAAAATACTAGTTTTGTATTTAGCGTAATGTATCAACAGGTGCAAGAATTGGTATTTTGTGTTTCGCGTTATATGTCCCAGATATGCCGTTTTTCTCCTTTTAATCAATTCAAACAGCTCACGTTGTTTGTTGACACGTCCTAGAACTTCTTCGTTTGCTAGTCTAGCCGTCCAAGGTAAGTAAGGATTCTGCGATACAGCCACATTTCGAAAGCCTCTAATTTGTTAATTGCAATCACCTTTAATGTCCAACCTTCCATGTCGTAAAGAAGCATTGACCAAACGTAGCATTTAATGAATCTGAGTCTTATAGGTTAAGGTCAAAATCGGAACAGGTAAGCACTCTTCAAAACCTCAAGAATGCTGTCGAGCTTGTTCAATGAGACATTTTATTTCCTTATCTCTGTTCGAAAAACCAGACGCCCAAGTACTTACTTAAATTTATCTACTCTCTCTATGGGCTTTGCGTTAAATGTTATGGTGAAGTTTCAAACATATTTGGATTTCTAGAGATAATCATAAACTTTGTTTTTCTGGTGTTGATATTTAAGACCATTGATTTGCTCTGTTCCCGAATCTTGTTGACAAGTTGTTTGTAGGTCGTGTATGTTATCAGCAATTGAGACCGTATCGTCAGCATAGCGAATATTGTTAATCCACACTCTATTAACTTTGACTCCTATTTCCACGTCTTCCGAAGCCTCCTGAAAAATCGCTTCCGAATACAAGTTGAACAGAAGCGGAGACAGCACACATCCCTGTCGCACCCCTCTTCTAATCTGTATGGTGTTGGACATATTATTGCATAATTTGATTTGGGCTGTTTGGTTCCAGTATAAATTTTCAATGCATCTAATGTCTTTCTGGTCTATGTCAAGCTTATTGTGGAGCTGCATTAATTTGTGGTGTTGTACGCGACCGAATGCCTTTTCGTAATGCTCTATCTCTGAGCGTGGTCAGAAGGCACATCTGCTCCAGGATATGTGACGGCTTTCTTGATGGTTGAGCTTGATCAGGAAGAAAGCTGTTTGGTTTCGCACTACTGTGTGGACGGTTCGCTGGGGACTTCCCAGGTATAGAGTCGGCGAGGGTGAAGTTGATACCATGTATTTGTCACTTTCATGATCTCCTCCTGGGTTCTTATTCTCGAAACAGGGGAGCAACGTTCTCATGAGAACAAAGGTTTTGTCTTCGTCGCTCATATTCATATTCCCATAACACTGAAAAGACGGAACCTTCGTTCTCATGAGAACACTGTTCCCCGGTTTCGAGAATAAGGACCCTGGCAGAATTGTAAGAGTCGATCACCCCTCTTGTTCCACTCTCCAAGACCCTACGATGCAACTTGTTACGATAAATTTATCATTTACGTAACATGTTCCATCTCTTCTTATTCTCATTATAAAGTCGTATTTTTTCCATTTTAGAATTATTTAATTAATCCACAAAATTCAAATTCAAATTCAAATAATACAAGTGCTGCCATCTATCCACATTTGCGTAAAATGCAAATATCTTACCGGTACTGCCATCTAGTGCCCGGTGGTTTATATTTCAAAGTATGATTTTTTGGTTGATTCGCATTTGGCAGTCATTTGTAAAGTGTGTTTTTTTTTAAAGATAATTCCCCAAGTCAAAAATTTAGTAACTATGTTGGCAACACAAGCCTTTTCTACATAAAAAATTTGAAAGCATTGACAATTTTACATTGTATTGCCAACATAATGTCATTTTGACTTTTATCTTTAAAAAAAAAAACAGATTTTATTTTCATTGAAAGAAATTATATTCATCTCACTTTTAGCAAATTGATATATTTCTGTCCTTTTCTAACTTCTGATTCTGAAATAATCATTTTTTGGCTTAATGACCTAATTAATTAACAGTTTTTTATTTTTGACATAACCTCAATTTAAATTATTATAATTTGTAAACAATTAAAATCATTTTAGTGGATTTTTATCTATTTTCTTTTATTCCATGCGGTCTTTCATTGTGTTTTCATTTTGAAGTGAATATGGTCTTCTGGGTGTACTTACTCGTCTGATTGGTTGAAGCTGGTTGGAATGCAGTAAGTATAAAAAAACACAGGATCGTTTTCCTGCTGGCTGGGGTTTCTAAAACGATCTCTTCTTGAAAAGCGACTCTGGCAGGCAAGTCCTTCTTTATTTTTATTTAATTTTATGCTTTGAATTTTTGGATCCTCCCCTATAGATTTTTCAATATTCAAATTATCGTATCTTTATTAAGTTTTTACCTGATAAATCTTATCTTATCTGTTTTTGAAATATAAATATTATATACTCCTGGACAAAATTATCGCACCACCACTGCACATAAGCACCATAAGCAGTGGTGCGATAATTTTGTCCAGGAGTATTTTTAAGTTTTTTTTTATCTAATTGTTGGCTTCCATTTTTGTGTGAATTACTTATTGGTTAGTGCCACGTTTTGTTATAAGAGGTAAGTCCACACAGATTTTTGGATTTTAGATAGGTACTGCTGCTCTGGCTTTCAGAATCAATTTTTAGTGTGGGAATATTGGACCATTTTCTCTAAATAGAGTCGGTGAGAACCAAATTTGTGAGTCCATCCCCATTAACTCTTTATTGAATCCAGGCAGAGGCCTGAACAACCATTTTCTGTTTGACTACCTAAATTATTATCTCAACTGAAGGGTGTAATTTTTTAATAGAAATCCAGACAGGTCAAAAATTCATTTAAAAAGTTTTAATTAAAACATCTCAAGAATTTTGATACATTCTGGATTTGATTAATTTCAACCCTAGGTTTATCTAGTATCTGTGGTAGCTACCTTAATTCAAGAGGAAGATTTTGTCTATTTAGGGAGGAATCCAGAGAATTCATTTCTTATTTTTTTTTTACCTACCTTATTTTTGCTCGTATTTTTGCCTGCCAGAATTGTAATCAAGAAAGCAGCATTCTGCTCAATAATAACGAGCATTTTAATAATCTTGTTATCATTCTAATTTTTTTATTATCTTACCATTAATCTTAATTATTTGATTGTTTTTGTTTTTTTTATTAAAATATAAATTTTTTTCAACTTGTAATAACTGTTCATACCTGATTCTGTTGGAAGGGAGTGTCTGTACAACAATAATTTTATATTTAATTTCAATTTAAATTTTCTCTGCAAGACGCTCACTTTTTTGACAGAATTCAGGGATTTAATATTCCAAATATTGGTGAACCTGATACTGCCTTATTCTTTTCTGGGTACCTAGTCTGCATAAAGATCACTGTTTGGAGTCTGGATCAGCTGGAGTGACGTCACCCCAGCAATCTATCCTCTTCCTGGATACAGGAAGCAACACGAAAAGCTCCAGTTCGACCAGTTCACGAAAGTGAAACCCCAACACCCATTGAAGAGCTCCGGATTGGAAAGCAGGTACTTGGTATCCGATTCACCAAGAAAAACCAAGCTGTTAACATTGAAATTACATATAACATTGTGAACAAAATAAAATAAAATAATTGTTTGTTGGATGTTGAGTGGTTTCATTTGCACACAAAGGGGCTACACGTTATCT